CGTTTTATCTAGCTCTCTCCATTAGCTTATTTGTAAAATTTAGCTTTCTAAATACCTGATACTTAGTTCATTAGCAAATTTAATTTGTATTTTTCTTTTCCTTCAAGTCATCTCCTAGTAACAGCAACTCATATGTACTGTTTGAGAGAGATTCCATCACGAAAAGGTCTGGCTTACATACAGTCTCGACAGGCACTCAACTCTGTAGTCAAAATCACGTCCAAGAAGAAACACCCAGAACTGATCACCTTTAAATATGGAAATAGCAATACTTCAGGCATAGAAATTTTGGCAGTTGAAAGGTAAGCCATCTCAGTAGCAGGGGTGTAAGTAGTAATGATATCTGGAATGCTGTCAGCTGGAAGTCGGGCATGCTGTAATTCCCAGAATTGAGTTTCAAAGTAATAGCTTTTATTTAGGAATAGGTAATTCATATGTGAACTAGAAAAAAAGATCTGCCAGCAGAAAAAGGAGCCTTTGCTTTCCTCCAGCAGAGAGGAACTACAATGACAGCTGTTGGGGATGGGATGTGTGCAAGTGTTTTCTTTTTGTAATATGTCTTAAATAGAAATGAAGTGGACAACCATCTGCAGCTAAAATAGGGATTTGTGAAGAATGGGATTTAACAGAGTGGTCATTTTTCTATGGGATCATGTTTTTAGGCATCTCACTCTTCCTGTGCATTGTACTAGGAGTCCAGAAGCCTAACCTCAAAACTCTGAACTCCTGAAAGTTAGGTATGTCAGGCTTCTTTCCACTGGTGTGGCCTGATTTTTCTTGGCACTGTTTTAACATCAGTTGGACATTTTCTTATCCTTTTCCTTGGAGACAACTGTGTGCAGTGGCTGTTCAGTTCTCTCGAGGTGGGAGATGAGTTTTCTACCTAAATAGGGAAGTTTGGTAGTGGGCCAGACAAAGATAAATTAAAGCGTTGCAGAAAACTTTTCTGTTTGTTGAATTACTTTGTCACCACCTTGTTGGCTGGAGCAGATTGATCTAGAGCTATTTATAGGAATTTAAAACAAAAAGCCAAGCAAGGACTGCTATGCTTCAGTGAGGCAGTAGAGATGTTGAACTGCCTGACCTGTACCACTGTCAATTAATGAAGAACATTTCCTTTCCAAGATGGCCTGTGAAGTGCTCCTCAGCAATTCTAGGTTCACAAACAGAAAGTGTTTCATAGTATAAGCAGGAATTAAATTGTATTTTCTCAGTATTTTTCATTTTAATATATTTCCCTCATCTCTTCCTCCTAACCAGAGAAAGAATCAAAAGAATTATGAAATTTATGCTTAAAACTTTTATACTGAATTAATGATGCCTTTTTCTAATCTTTTTTTTTTAAGGTATTTGATTCCAAATGCAGGTGATGCTACCAAAGCCATAAAACAACAGATCATGAAAGTATTGGATGCCTTGGAGAGTTAGTAACTAAAGACTTTGTAGAGACCAGTTTATAAAGAAGAAGCAACTAAGATACTTTATGTGGACACAAGCTGACTGTTTCCCAATGGAATACTAACTTATGAGAATTTTTCTGTTTGCTGGTGGAAGTGCCTGAGTAGCAGGCTTAAGATAGGGTAAATTATTATCAATTTCTGAAACGTTTTTTAATTTTTTTATTATAACTTCTTGGTTTTGAAGAAATGTTTATTATAAAGGTCAGTTTGTTTCACTTTAATGCAGCCTTAATGGGAGTGATCTGCATCTTTGCAGAAGCAGATGCAGCTGGGTTCACATTAAGTGTATTAAAGGAATGAACCACTGTGAGATACAGAGAAGCGGTTGAAAACAGAATGGTTTTTAAATTACTATCCCTTGAAAGTAAATGCCTACGGTCTATAAATCTGATTTTGGGTAGTATCAAAGATAATTAAAGACTTAGGTTTATGAGCAGAGCAGATACAAATCTTAGAAATACTGTTTCCTCATTAAAAATGGTAAAGTCCAGTTTGGGCTGCAAATAAATGCAAAAAATACAAGCAATTTGTAAAGTTAACTTTTTTTAAGTCTTACCAACTACTTGGTAAAGTAACTGGCATTGGTGGTATGGGTTATTTCTAAATACCAATATTAACTGTAGTTTTTATTACTGGATTGTGATTTTTTTTAATTAAGCAGAATTTTACATTTCATAGATTGAGGCTGTTTCTCATGCAAAGATGAATATGTGCATTGAAATTAATGTTTCATTACAGAATATGACAGTTGAAAACAAGTTACCTTGTTCCTCAGAAACAAAATGTCTGAGACATTTAGATGTTTAAAAACCTTCAGTTCAGCACAAAAGTACATGCTGACAACAAGAAAACGAATTCACACAAATTAAGTAAAGAGATTCCAGTGATAAATATGTTCTTAACCTGTTGCCTTCATTGATTCAAGCATTTGTGTAAATTATTTTAAGTAACAACTTCTAAATTAATTAATGGCAACTATGTGATTGTTTATCATCAGCTTTCCACTTGTTCATGAACAGTTCTCATGGTAAAAAGCTCAGAACAGGAATGTTCTTATGAACAAGGCATAGCATCTTTGTAGACTGATAGGAAATCATCAAAAACTGTTAAATAAAGATAGTGGGGATTAGCTTTGCTGCATGAAGTCTTCTGAGTATTTCTGTCAAAACCAACGATTTGGTACTTCATCAGGAGATAAAATAAGTTAAACTGACCTTTATAAAAAACACTTATTCTAAGTTATTTTACTAGGAATCAAGCTAGGGCACCTTAATTCTGGAACTAATTCCTTTTTTTTTTTCCTTCTTAGTATCTGAGTAAACACCAATAGAACTTGAACTGTTGAAGATATTTGCATGAAATTGCACCTGGGCCAATGCTCATGTATTTATAGTTTTGCCCAGCAGCTGTTGTATTACATTTTCCTCTTCCTAATCCCTTCTGAAAATATCCTCAAGAGTCTCTGACTCTGTGCCTACTTCAGCAATGAGATTTTTTTCATGTAAAGATGTTTGTGCTACTGTTTATAAACTACAGTTGTAAATAAACCAGTACAATTTGAACATAACTTGTTCTGTCAGAATGCATTTAGCTGCATACTGTGTGAATTCTCTGAATCAATTAGAAGTTTTCCCTAAAGGTGTTTTGTAAATGGAAGTGACTTTGGTCTTTGGAGTGAAGAAGCTGACTGCAGATCATCAGAACCTACTGCCAGTGACTTCCTAACGTAAGTATTTTGGTATTTAGACTAATTCCATTGAGTACTTTTGGGTAAGCCACAGTAAGCTTTCATAGAAAGGTCAAAATGAATTAACAAGTGGTCAAATTATAGAAGGGGTTTCTGCATAAATTCCAGACTTCTCAACATCATATTTTTTATTATGAAAACGTTAACAGAATGACACAACATATTTTTCCTAGTCAGAAGGAGAAAAAGGGAAAATTACACTCAGTTGTTAAACAGGGGTATTTGAGTATTAAATATGGAAAGTGGCTAATATGTATGCTTCCCTGTGAGGACAACAAATACAGACCTTTTAGATCTACAATAAGTAAAGCAACAGTAAGTTCTTAAATCTCTTCTGTGTAGACATATATATAGCCATTAAGAATCTAATTATTTGTAATTTTAAAGGCATCGTGCCAATTACCAGCAGACAAATCTTACAAAGCTCAGTCCAAACTACGAATAGTGTCAATGATGTTTGTGCATCTCTACCCACAATTTAAAGGTTACTTTTGCCTTATAGTACATATTTGTGGTTACTACCTTTGTTATAAAACTTGTATTGCTAAGCAGAAATTCCAGTTATAGTACCAGAGTGACATTTTTTGAAAAGAAAAATCAAATAGTAGGTACGCTACTTCCTGTCCCTTTCATCTTCAAGGAATTTTTTTCAATTATTTGCCAGAGATTTGCAGGCTCTTGTTCTATTCTGCATGCACTGCTGTCTGTATTGTTGAATATAAGATGATAGCTGTTGCTGAAGTTTTAGTTTTTATTTTTTCTTTATTTCAGTGATAGAAATGAGGTCTGTAGCAGGAAAGAAACAGTCGGAGTCAACTTTCCTGCCAACTGAAAGCTCTTACCTTTGTGTTTCGTAGCGAGGGTCGGTGCTTCTGTGGCCTTCAGTTGTCTCACAAAGTCTTTTAGATTCTGCTGTGTAGGAGAATTTGTACAGAACTTCACATGCATTACCCACCAAAAATACTCTGACTGTAGAGCTGCAGTTTTATTTACATTGCCTTCTCCAGATATAAGTAGAGATTGCTTGCTCTTCTTTCAGTTCAGTTCCTGTTAACCCTTACACATAGGTCTCAGCTGTGCTTGTAGCTTTTCCTTCCAACTTCATTTCAGTTGTAGTTTCAGAGCTTTTGATACTGTCAAATAACCTTTTTCAATATAGGCATAGTCTATTGAATGTCTAAAAAGTTTCCCCTTTGGGAAGGAGAGGGGTGATGGCGTGTAACTTGTTGTTTTGGTTATACTTAGTGCTTTGAGATATTTTTGTTTTGAAACTTGAAAAATATGTTTTATCTCTCTGATCCATGGGAAGCTGGATTTTTAGTCTGTGCTTTTCACCTTGAAGGGATGATACTGCTTTTCTTATTTTGTGTCAAGTCAGGAGACAGCTGTTCTTTGCACCTGGAGCGCAGCAAGGTGTGCTGTTTGGGGGAAAAAATGAAATAAAATCGAATATGCTCTTTCTATTACCATGGGCAAGTGAAAAATAAAAGAGGCTTGCCAAAGAGCTTCTGCACTGTCCATTCTGCCATCCTTTGACTTGGTCAGTTTGGGATGAGTGGTTCCCTTTACTGCTGCAAGGTACAGATTGCTGAAGGAAGTTTTGTCACTGTTGAAGGAAGGTTTGTCACTGCTTGGTTATGTACTTCCCATCCTTTATCTCTCTGCATGTGTCCTGGAATGTGTGTAAGAGATTGATCACCCTGGGTTACCCATTTTATCTTTGCCCCTTATGCTGTCATGTGCTGTCAGCTTACAGAGATGCTCTTGCTTGAGAAATACTGCTTCTATACAACATGAATCTACAGTTCTACAAACATGCTTATAAAAAGCTTGAGGTTGGAAGATACATATGTGAGACAGCAATGTTCTGTGTTAAGGGGAGCACTTGGTGTTTAAAGCTAAGGAGGAATAGCCTGGCATGTCAGTGTGTTGGTTTTACAGAATTGTTAGGGTTGGAAGGGGCCTCTGGAGATCATCCAGTTCAACCCCCCTGCCAAGGCAGAGTCATCTAGAGCAGGTTATACAGGAACATGCCCACGTGGTTTTGGACTGTCTCCAGAAAGGGGAGACTCCATGACCTCCCTGGGCACCCTATTCCAGTGCTCTGTCACCCTCAGCGTTAAGAAGTTCTTCCTCAGGTTGAGTTAAAACTTCTTGCATTTTAGTTTATGGCCATTGCTCCTTGTCCTGTCACTGGGCACCACTGAAAAGAGCCTGGCACCAACCTTGGAGATATTTATATGCATTAATGAGATCTCTTCTCCAGACTAAACAGGCCTAGGTCTCCCAGTCTCTCCTCATAAGAGAAATGCTCCAGACCCCTCATCATCTTTGTGGCCTCCACTGGACCCACTTCAGTAGCTCCTTGTCTTTCTTGTACTGAGGAGCCCAGAACTGAACGCAGCTATCTGGATGTGGAGTACTGTGGGGATGTCTCTGCCTTAGGAGATGCTGTTCTTACAGAGGAAGATAGATGGGGATGTCCCAGGTGAATGAGTTACCTGTCAACTGGTACAGATCCCTTGGGATGAGCCCTTAACAAGCATAAGGCTGCATAGGGCAGGGGAAAAGGCCGTAGGCATAGCAGCGCTGAGCTCCAGGTTTGGGTGCACAGCTGTGTCCTTGCGGGATGCTGGAGTGGCGCTGGAGGAGCACCGCCAGTTCCCTGCCACCCACTGGGGTCACGCAGGAAGGTGGGTGCTTCATCCCCTACTTGTTTTCCTGCTCAGAGCTCAGACCTGGCAGCCAGCGGACCACTTAAAGGCAGGTTTGAGCCGGTTTTAGCTGAACCGCGGGCCCGGACTGCGTGTTCCCGCAGCCCCTCCGTGCCCGCGCATGCTCCGTGCGGACCGGCCGGGATGCGGCGCGCGAGCGGCGCCATGGGCGTGTGAGTGGGGGCCCCTCGTCCCTCTCCTCCCGCGCCCCCGCCTACCCCGCCCGGGCACAGGGAAAAGCACCGCCTGGGGATCGCCCCCGCGTGGCCAGCCCCGGTGCGGCCGGGAAAGGCCTCGGTCCGGAGCCCCTGGAAGGGCTGCGAAGTAGTGCAGGAAGCAAGGGAGCTGTGCTGTGCGGAGACCGGGACGCAGCGCTCGCCGTGCAGGGTCAGCTTCCTCAGGGGATGTGTCAAAGCGCGGCGTGCTCGCCTTCTGGTGTTTTACAGAAAAGAACAGCCCCCCCCCCCCCCTCCAAAAAAAAAAAGCTTGTTTTGTAGTGATACAAATGCAAACCATTATTGTTCTGTGACGCGCCTTTATCTGGTTGTGGTCTGCATTGCTGTAGGCTTATCCTGAGAATTGCTTTTAAGGAAGTTTCTGAGGCAGCTTATCCAGGCTGGAAGCAGAGTTCTCTCTTTGCAGCACTGTTGCACATTTCTCTGCATTTCTCTTACTTCTGCATCTGGACGGTTTTACATCTACTCGTGCCCACAGTTTTGTTTATTCTGTTGTGACTGAGCTTTAATTTTGCCCTTTAACAAACTCCAAACTTGAGGCATAGGGAAAATAAGATTATTGTTTTTCTAGCATTTTAACCATTATTGGATTTTTTTCCTAGTAGATGCTCTTTTGTTCTTTGTTTACTTCTGTGTTTTGGGGGCTTTTTTGATTTGTTGGGGTTTTTTGTTTGTTTGTTTTCAAAAGTGACTTTATGCTGAAATGTAAATCTTTAATTGTCCAATTTCTCCGAGCTAAAACACATTCCACAAGTACGGCAAAGTTTTTGACAGATTCCTGGTATGGTTACCTAAGTGGGTCTGTAAACTATGGTCACATCTGTTCAGAATATCAGTTAAGGTTTATTTACTCAATAGATCCAATAGTAAAAGGCTCTCTATCAGAAGAGTGACAAAGGGAGCAGTTAATCATTTGCTTAACTTCTAGAAATTAGCTGCTTAGCTACTGAAGTGAGATCTAAAGTAGGAAAAAGGATGTGCCTTCACTGTTCCTGGCCCAATCTCCATTTTGCTTGAATCAGCTCTTCCTGTTTCCCTGACTACTGAGGCTGTGTTGCTCACAGCTTTGTCTTTTTCCTACAGTAATCTATGATTGCTTTCCAGAGAAGAGAGATACTTTGTGGCTGGGGTACTTTTCTTTATGAAGCCAGAGGGGGGTGGGTGGGTTTTGTTTTGGTTGGTTGGTTGGTTGGTTTTAGAGTTTGTTTATTTGTTTGTTTGTTTAAAAGGAAACTCTGAAAGCCTGCAAATATAGAACCTGCTTAGTGACAGTAGAAACTGTTGATAACACTTGCAACTGTGTTTTGGCTAGAAACCAAATTGCAAAGAAGTTATTAGGAAAGATGTTACCTTTATTGGCCTTCATAGCCATTTCCCAGACTAGGTGTGATTTGAGGGATAAATTCCCTTATTTGGTGCTTTGGGGATTATCCAATTCTTTGGTTTGCTAGTGACATTTTAGGACACGCAGTGTTCGTCAAGCGACATGTGCCACAAAAAGATGGGCTCACACATCCTTTTGGCTCGATGACCTGTGGTCTCCCTTTCTGCACCATGGCACCTTCCATTGGAACATGGGCTGGGAACTGTCTGGGCTGAGTGAACTGGCACAAGAACTCTGTGATCTTTGCCCTGGCCATGGTGATGGCTGTGCATGGTTCCCATTAGCAAGCCTGGCCTTCAGTGTTCTCCCTGTGCTATGAGAGCCATGGACCACAGAATGAGTTGGAAGTGGTTTATATATATGCTTATAGATTAAAAAATTTATTTTGTTAAGTGCTTGTTACTGAGTTCATATTTTGAAGAGTTTCCTGGGTGAATTCCGCTGAATGTTTTTTTCTTTTCTATTAGCCTTCCGCCTCGCTCTTATTCAGCTTCACGTGTCTGCTGTTAAATCAGACAATCTGCAACGAGCCTGTGGACTGGTTAGAGAAGCATCAGCTAAAGGAGCAAAAGTTGTGGCTCTACCTGTGAGTAAAGGTCATGGTCTACTTGGCACCTGTGCCTCAAACCCTTCAAAACCTCTTGCTGATGTTACTAAGGCATTCTGTATTCCTGTTTCTCTCTGCATAGCTTACAAGCTGTGGGAGGCTTCAAAATAAAAATTAAAAAAAAAAATAAAAAAAGAAAAACAGGTTCTATCTAGCAGCACACTTAAGAGGTGGGGGACAAGAAGGGAAGGGGGAAAACAGGTTTTCCTTTTTTGTAGTGTAAGAGTCTGGCAAAGTTTTTGCTAATTTAAATCCCAGGCAATTCCATGATTTTTACATTCTGAATTCATGTAAGTAGCACTGTAGTTGGAATTTTTGCTGAAGAAATGCAGAAAAAGGTGATTTTCAGCTAAAGAATGTTGACATGAAGGTGAAAGAAGACAGGTACATGGTGACTCTCTTTGCTGTAGGCATTCCAGATATATCCACAGAGAAACAAAACAGACTTAAGACATTTCCAGCAGGTTATGTGTGGCTTAATTACGATTAAAGGGCACTTCTCTTGTGACTTTCTTGTGTGGGAACGTAAGTAGCCACTTAAAATCACTGATCATTTCTGATTTACTTCTTGAACTTCAGCTATGATGACTGTGCTGAATTTTCACACAGATGGGTGTGCTGGCAACAAGATGACCTTCCCAGTGCAGCTTTGAGCTTTTCCCCTCTCTTCCTGGGAGTACATGTGTTGCTCCTGTACCCTGCAGCCTCTGACTCAGGAGACCAAAGTTCTTCTCTGGGTGAACTTTTGGTCTCAGTTTTACACACAGAATGTTTTCTCTCCTGATGTCACAGGGGAAGCATTAAGCAACCTTCCCAGCTCCTCTCTGCTAACACAGTGCTTGTGTTGCAAATGTAATAACCACTGAGTGTTCTGCCTGGGCCTCCTACGTGGAGATTACCTATTATTTGCTGGTTTCATCATGTGTACAAATATTTGGTTTCCCAGACTTCTTTAGTTGAGATACTTACTTTGCTAATGATGATTTATGCTTTTAGCATAGATGTTGTCAAACAAGGGCAAGGTATTTCACAGACTTTTGGGAAGTAAATTTTACACTGGCATTAGGACATGGGCATGAATATTCCCTCTGTTTTGTTCTTTAGTTTGGGTTTTTTTGTGGTTTTTTGTTTGTTTGTTTGTTTTGATTTTTTAAAATAAGTTTATATAAAGAACAGAAGTGACTCACACTGACTATATAATCTGCACCTTTGTAGAGCCATGTGGCAGTTTTCCTGTGACATATTAGCCTTTTCCTTTCTGAACATGGAAAAATTTGTGAGAGAAATACAATTTGTAATATTTATGGATAAAAAAATAAAAGCAGAATCCATTTGAATCTAAAAATTGATAGAAAGCAATTCAGAGATCTGTCCCTGTGTTTTTTTCTGCTTTGGAGGGCACAGGACTGGGTGATCTGTGCAGACAGTCTGCAGTTCTGTCCCAGTGTCAGCCTGTGCACAGCCCCAGGCAGTGCCACTGCAGGCTGGCACAGAGCTCTGCTTGTTCTCTGCAGCCCCTGGTTTCAGTGCCACCCACATGGGCACTGCAAGTGGCAAGATGAAGGTGGAGGCAGCTGGCTGTGCTTTCATTTCCTTGAAGATCAGCCCAGCTTTCCAAAGCCTGGGAAGCTCATTTGGCAGCCTGCAGAGACTTTCCTTCCTGCTTCTTCCACTACAAGTTCTGCTGTGGATTAGCTGGCACCTGCTGGCCCAGTGTCTGCATATGGGGCAAAAATACCCACCCACTTTTGGTTCAGTTAGTCTGGTTCAGTAGAACCCAACTCAGTTGTTAAGAAGTTTGCTTGACCAGGCAAGGCATAAATGTTTATTTTGCTATTCACAGCTTGATTTTTTTTTTCTCCTTTTTTGGGGGAAGGGTGAGGGGTGGGTTGGTTACAACATCCAATGAGCCAAGGTAACAGTGGAGGCAGATGCCTGGGCTAGGAGTCACTTACCAAAGAGTAAGTGCTGGTACTGTTTGATAGTTTATCTGTGGCCCTCAGCTGTACTCCTTTAGGGGACAAGAAAAGTGTTGGGTGGAGTGTCTCACGTCCTCACAGAGCTGGCAAGTGTAATAATTCAGACTGAAAGTTCTTGATGTCTTGGACATCTCAATTACCACTGCCCACCTAGTTTAGGCATCTAAACTACTCCATTAATCTGACTGTCTAAAGATTACATGCCTGGTTCTGAAGGATAGCAGATCTTTAACTAGGGCCTAAGACAGAGGACACTGTCCAGTTGTGAGGAAATAGCATTTAAAGGATTGTTTTACAAAAACAGTGAGTAATTTTGAGAAATGCACACCCGCATTTCACCAGGTTAAAGCCTCTCTGGCCTTCCTGATATTTTTTAATTTGCTTATTGAGTTCCTATAAACTAAACTCCTGTAACTAAACATTGTTTGAGAACATTTTTAGAGAGGGGTTTGAAAAGCCAAGTACATCTCCTTGTAGTGATGTTACTGGATTTTAGCTGTTTCTTTTCCATCCACTTCTAGGAATGTTTTAATTCTCCATATGGAACCCAATACTTTAAGGAGTATGCAGAGAAGATCCCTGGGGAATCAACACAAAAGCTCTCAGAAGTTGCAAAGGAGTGCAACATATATCTCATTGGAGGTAGTTTACTCTTAGTGACTGTCCCATTTAGGAAAAGATGGGCAATGTCTCTTAGTGCCGTTGGATCAAAATCAGATATAATACAGTGGGGCAAATCTTTGTTCTTGCCTTTACAAAGGATCCATTCCAGAAGAGGATGGTGGAAAGCTGTATAATACATGTACTGTCTTTGGGCCTGATGGTGCTATGCTGGCAAAGCATAGGAAGGTAAGATGGCAGAATATTGTTATGAAAAGGTTTCTCAGCAGTGTTGCACAAATTATGTCATTTGTACCTAAAGGTGATAGAAATTAGTAGAATCATTAATAATAGTTGTGTACTGTCAGTGACATTTCATGTACTTTTTATTTGGGACATGTAAACATCCCTTCAGAAGCTGGTCATAAATTTGGTCTAGATGAGGATGACAAACTAAAGAAGGTATAATTGCCTTTCCCTACATGCTGGGAAAACTGTGATAAAAAGTAAAACCTGATCAAACCCAGATATTTGATCTAAGTCTAAAACATAGTGCCACTTAAGTGGGATCTGGGTTTTCCCTCAGCTTCCCAATGTATTTAGTCCTTCTGTTATTGTAAATACTGTTCTTTACATACTTTATGTGCTATATGTATGATTAGTGGAGGCAACCAAAGCCCAGGTTCCACAGTGAAGCTGTAACTGCTGTTTGTGGTAGATGTTTGCTTAATGTCACCTTCCACCTCAACATTGCCTTGTGCCTTCTGAGAAACTGCCTTCTCTTTGTAACTCCAGAGTGTTAAATCTTACTATGCACACAGGTAGCACTCCAAAGGTGAACAACAGCTTATTTCTTTCAAGGATAAACAAAAAAGAGGATGCAAGGTTACTTGGAAAAAATAAGATGGTGCAAAATACCTCTGGGTGCAGGTATTCACTTACTTTGTTAACTAATTCTACAGTTAGCTGCACTATTAGATCACTTTCTGAATTATTGTGTTGCCTACCATCTTTCATACCCCACCAGTCTGCAAGCCTACCAGTTCATAGAATGAGTGCAGGCTTGTACTGTGTAAGTATGAACAAGTAATAATACAAACCAGCACTATTATTAGGAAGCTCCAGTCAGGAAGAGAATCTTCCATTGAAACAGAGGGACAAAGACTGTCTGCAGGGCCTCAGAGGCATCTGCAAAGCTGGGAGCTTTTTGACTTAGTGAAGGTATTTCCTGGAGAAGTTTTGCAGGAATGAGACTTGAATCTTAGAGAGGAAAATATCACCCTTTTTAACCTGCTTTAAAATCATCCTGCCGAATTCAAGACATTTTATATATATCCTTTCTTTTGCAAAATTACTCGTTAGATCAGGATATTGCTATTTTGCAGGGATTTGCAATTTCAGACAGGTATATTTCTTTAAAGAAAACTAATTATTGTTGGGGATCTAACAGTCTTAAGCAATGTTTAGTTTGGATCCTGACGAAAGAGTAGTCTAGATAACAGTGGAAAACATGGGACTAATAGAAAGAGGCTCAAATACCAAGCACAGAAATTGTTATTGATCACAGTATAATTGCAGGTTCATTTGTTTGACATTAATGTTCCTGGGAAGATACAGTTCAAAGAGTCTGAAACACTGAGTCCAGGGAATAGTTTCTCCATGTTTGACACACGTGAGTACAAGACAAGCCCTCTCTTTAAGGAGCTGTGCTACAGTAACACCACAATCATTCTGGAGTTCTCTTCCCCCTCCTCCTTCCAAGCAATGGATTTTTAGACTATCAGATTTATATTAGGCATTTGACAGCCACAGCAAATGCAGTTTAATTTTGCTTCAAATGTGTGGTCACTCCTGAAACTTTTAAAAAGGTAACGTGGTTGCAAAAGGACAGAGGAGTAGAAAGGGTTGCAGCACACATTGTGGCACTTGCCTTAATTAAATAATGCTCCTATTGATTTGTTAAAGATAAGTGACTGTATTTTTTATAGCAGTTACAGCTTGAAAATGGTTCTTATAAAACATGGCTTGTACAAGCCGCTACAACTATACAAACAAACAACTGTAACAAACAGCTCCACTGACACATTGTTTCATGTGAGGATGATACAATAATGGAGACAATTACTGTAACTTGTAAATCGAATTCCAGTGTTCCTGAATCAACCACATCAGACGAAAAAGAAAGATATTTACTCTTCCCCACCCCACAGTGTTCAAAAATTAACACAGCTTGTTTACTGAGGTCTCCAAAGAGTCTCATCTCCCGTGGTCACTTTCTCCTCCTTGCAATGTGCATGGTCTGAGAAAGGACATGACTGCAGTTTTAGTCCATGACAAACAGTGAGTGCTTTCTTTTCTTGAAAAGGAAATAATTGAAAAACTTGCAGCTAAATGAGAGAGGAATATGTTACACAAAGACCCGATAGAACATGATTTTGTGGAAACAGCTGTTGTTGAAGGGTAGATAAGACTGCTTCTCATAAGTCTTTCATCATGAAACATGAATTCCCCCCCACCAATAGCCAATGCTTGTTGGACACACATTTAATTATAGCCCCTCTTGTTGCTGTGAGACATAAAATAACAATTGACAGGAGGGCTACAGGGAGTCTTGTAATTGCTTTTGTGTACTTCGTGATAGCGATATGACTGTTGTCTCTTGTGTTTTGAGAACAGCATACTGTAAAGTGGGCCTGGGCATCTGCTATGACATGAGATTTGCTGAGATGGCTCAAATCTACGGCCAGAAAGGTGAGGCTGGATCACCTGAAGGAGCAGGGGGAGCCCTAAGGCCAGAAATAAGCAGGGCTGTCTCAGGGTGGTACGTAGTGAGCAATCTGTGTGACCGGGCATTCTCATCCTCACCCAGTAACACAAAATGCATCTTGTGGCCAAGACTCTTATCCAGATGAATGACTCTTCTCACCAAGTATCCATCATTTCCTGATACACATTTGCTGATGCAGTGAGGGAATTGGGTATATCCCCACGTTAGGGCTTTGCTGATTTAAGTAATCACCTGTGTTATGCATGGACAGGCTCTGGTTGGTTCCATTTTGGGCAGAATTTGTGAAGTTGAAAGAAACCTCATCTTGAGGGCCACTGTAGGGTAAACCTATCTTCCTCTTAATAATGTCTGGGTTCTAACTGTCTTTTAACAAAGGTTGCCAGCTGCTGATATATCCAGGGGCTTTTAACCTGACAACAGGACCAGCTCACTGGGAACTCCTACAGAGGGGACGGTAAGATCACAGTAACAGCTTATCCTCCTGTTCCAGAGGGAGCTTTACTGCATGGAACTGAACTGTTCTTGTGTTCCACATGACACTATGCAGCAGAAGTGGTGCTACAGGGCCTGTCTGCCATTGGAGCTGCACCTTTCCTCATGATGCGTGGCCTTGCATGGGACACCAAAATGATTTTGCTGTCAAGCAGGAACTACTTTACTACAGTCTTTACTCCTGCCAGCCCCTAGCAGTTATGCCCTTTCAAGGACCTTTTCCCATGGTTCTATAAACACCCTTCACACACAAATTCTAGAGAGAAGAGCCAATAACCATTTGAGAACTGCTCTAATTACAGATAGAAATAGATTCTGAGATTCCTGGACGCAGTATTATTTATTGGTCAGCTTCAATCAACTTTCTTACATACAGAATGAAAATGGGAACAACATGATATTCTGTGCACTAACACTGGAGCCAGGTGCCAGAGACTTCTCTTTCCAGGCTCTGCTTTCTCTGACCTTCATATCATTTACAGTTTTGGCTAGTCCTTAGGAGGATATAAAGCTTGTCATTCTGAGTGAATTCTTTCTCTTCTGCTTAGTTAAATGGTAGAATAAAAAGCAATTCTCACTTTATCCCCCTTCCCTCATCTTTTTCTGAACACAGTGCTGTTGATAACCAAGTCTACGTAGCTACCATATCTCCTGCTAGAGATGAAAAAGCATCCTATGTTGCCTGGGGACACAGCACTGTAGTAAATCCATGGTGAGTTCAATTAAAAACAACAAAACAACACCTTTTTTTTTGTTAAAAAATGTGTTTTACTGGACGCTTCAGTCCCACATTTCCACCTACTCTTGAAAATGTAAATTCTTGGTAAAAAGCACATGAGACTTAAGCCTGCATTCTCAAAACCATCATTTAAAACTGTCAAACTGAAAAACAAGAAACTAAAACTAGTTTAAAAGTATGTATTCATTTTGGTAGTAAAGATGCTACTTAGTACTAGCATTTAGCATTAGCTTTGCTGCTGACCTTTTCAACTTGTCCCTGAAGTTCAGTCCATTATATATCACTCATACAGTAATTTTCTGTGTAGAACCAAACCATGTTAAACAGCTTACACAAAACTATTTCATTTCCTCAAAGAACAACATTGCTTTGACATAATAAAGAACAAGAAGAATGTCTTCGGCTAGAGAAGAGAGATATTCTGACTTGAGCAGAAGTCATGCAGGTGCACAGGAGGTAAAAGTGACCAAATCTTCAGGCAGATATTTTTCTTTCAAATAAATCCACCAATAGTTTTCTTCCAGCTGATTGTAAAGTCAGAAAATCTTTGTGTTCTGAGCTTTTAACTTTATATGATGAAAACCGTGACAGAACACTTCAGCGGGAGACACGCTAAATCATGTTCAGTAGTTCATGCTGAGTAAAAGCATACTCCTATTAAAAGCCAGTAGGATCTTGAAAGGAGAAAGTGTTAGTCTTTGCCATATATGGTTGTCCCTTTACCCTTGAGGTATGTTGCATGCTCACATGCCCTGGTTCTTGATCTTTGGAACACATGTGAAGGATACATATGTCACATATAAAATGTGCCACATATAAAGCCTGAAAGCCATTTCCATCATGCCAGAGTTATGAATTATGATGCTATTTTTAGGAGAGGCCTGTGTTTACAGCTGTAGGCATCAAGAGTAGGAACTCCCTTTTGTACAAACAGCAGCAACTGGACTGATTCCTTGAGACTAATGTGTTAATGCTGTGAACAAATGCGCTTAATTTTGCAGGGGTGAAGTCATAGCCAAAGCTGGGGCTGAGGAAACAGTTGTATACACAGATATAGGTAAGGGTAAAGTTGCTTTGGTTTTTTTCCTCTTTGTTTTTTCTCAAGTACAGGCCATGAGACTAAGGAGAGACAGTTTTTTAAGTCTGTGGCCTTGCACATGCAACTACAGATAATGCAGCATTCCAATGCCTTTTCCCCCTTTGCTGGGTTAAAGCAAGAACAAGCAGCACTTAGCTCTACTCCTGTCATTTCCTTACTTAGGAGGAAGCTGCCACCTAAGGAAAGAGCAAAGCTGAGGCTCTTCAGCCCTGGCACTTGCAGTGCCCTACAGGTCCATTCTCCTTGGTAGTTCTCTTTTCCCTGCCTTACCTCAGAGCAAGTCAGGAGCTTTCTTTTTTGGCTGCTGTTCTCATAACTCTTTCTTCTCCCCCTGTAGATCTGAAGAAACTTGCAGAAATACGTCAACAAATTCCTATTTTAAGCCAGAAGCGTTGTGACCTCTATGGTGTAGAGATGAAAAAGTGAAGCTGGGTGAAGAGGGAAGGTTCAAGTGCCACAATGGCTGTTCCCTTCATCTTCAGAAGGATTCCTTGACTGCTTGCTCTACAATTTACTGCCGAATGTGCCAGTTAGAAAACCACCACACAAAAAAAAAACTTAATGGTGCAATTCTAAAGTTGATTCAAATCCTACTTTTATATCTCCTCTCACACTTAAGTATTTCATAGTTCAACACAGCAGTGATTAACATTGCTTTTATGCATGACAATGTTTTAGTTACCTTTTGGGGGCTTTTTTGTAGAAGACAGAAATGGAAACCTTGTTCTCTGAAACTCAAGTCAGCTTTAGTATTATGAATTTTCCAGTGAATTATCAGATAATCTAGAAGCATGATTCTTCCCACTCAGTCCTTTATAGATGTATGGGCCTTAACAAAGCTCCTGGAATGCCCTACTTCTAACTTGGAAATCTTAACATTTAACACTGAGCAAAACAGGCCAAATTCTGCTCTGCACTACTGGGGACAATGCAAGATGCCAGACAGAGCTATTGCTATAGAAGAATCTGTAACAGTTTTTGGTTCATGTGTTCTTGCCTGAATTATGTGTATTGAATCTTCCTTATGGCAATTCCTGTTTATTGTTGAAGTAATGCGGGTTACTGTGTTGTTAAAACAATGCATGTTGTAGTTTTGACTGGGGTTTCTTCTTAGAAGGAAGACATCTTTTAATGTAAAAAGAATTTGCAAATGATGCCTTTTTTTCCTCCTTGAGATGAAAAAAAGAAGCAACTCTCCAGCCTATACTAATAGGCTTTCAGATTTCTAGCAGCATAAAAAACCAGTAAGGCTAAAGATTTCAAAATACAAAAATGGAAAGGAGAGGTTTTGTCTTGGTCTAGCTAACTATATTATCCCCCAAACCACCTTACCTTTTATTCACGTTCAGCCATCCTCCTCTTCCCACAGCTGCTTTTGTTACTATTCTTTTGGTTCTCTGCAATGAGCCAGATGTGTGCTTTATAGAGGAAAATGAACACTTGAATGAAGTCAAATCCTGATGCATTCTTCCTCTCAAAAGACAGGTCCCACCCTTCCACTCAGTGGCATTAACTATTTCAGCAGGTCTTTTGGTCTGTATTTTCACTGCATTTTGGTGTACATACTGGACTGGAACTCTTAAGAAACAAGCCACAGAACATAAAGTGAAATGAAGATTTATTTGTTGGAAAATAAATATTAAAAAATTAACAATTTACCATTCGAGCCAAGTCTCCTGCATTAGATTAGTGCCTCCCACATACTCAACAATCTGCATCCATGATGGCCATTGCTGGGCTCCAACTTCTAAATCATAGTAACTATTATGCATCCATTTTCCTAAACTATTCTGTCATTCCCTCCCCTCTCTCTACTAGTTTAACATGCAGCAGTAACTAAATACTACCTTTGGAGGATTAAAGTAGTGCAGGACTCTCATAAGTTGACCACTGAAATTTTGAAAATGAAAAGTGCAGTCTGCAACAGACTGGGGCCTGGACCCTCCTCCCCTGGAATCCCAAATGGAGGACAGATGAAAATCTGTCACAAGCTACTTTGGTGAACTCAGTTCAAGAGCTGACATGAGCTCAGTCCTCTTAAGTCTGTCAGGACAACTTCTAAGCACCTTAGTTTAGTGGGATATTTAGTAGGGTCTCAAGTGTGCTCCACTCGTGATACAAATGGGACTGTGAGTTTTTGAGGGTTTCAATGAAAAGAAGTACACTATCAGATCTCAGATATAATACTTAAAGAAGCCAATACTCAACCTCTGTATTGACAGAAAACAGGCACTTTTAAGTAGTCGTATTATACATGTGCACCAGTATTCTGTAAGTATAGAAAACCAACCACAAACAACCCCAAAATAGCTGCAGAATTTCCAGTTGCAATAATTTAAATTCTTTTTAAAGAAATGGCAGAAACACTGTACTGCCTGTTGTATTGGGCAGTGTTAGTATCACTAGGCTGGTTAAAGCAGCATCTAAGCTGCTCTTGACAGTTCCAGAGTAAGGTACAGTGCAGCTCTTCAGCATGTGTTAGTTCCCTCTTCACTTTCAATCTGCAGTTAGAGCCTAGTAATTCAAGTCACAGCTTAGAACCATAGAATATGCTGAGTTGGAAGGGACCCACCAGGATCTTGAAGTCCAACTCCTGGCCCTGCACAGGACACCCCAAGAATCACACCATGTGCCTGAGACTCGTCCCTGTGAACAACAGGGATTATACATGATCAGAATTAAGTTGCAAGACAACTGTATGTAGAAGAAACTTCCCAGAGTATCCCTCTAGGATACACCAGGTTTATCCAAGTCTTCAGTACAAGATTCCTACATAATTTCAACAGTTTTATTTTTTTTAAATAGCAATAATACTTGTTTCACTTCAGCTCTCGATCCTCAAAGTTCACATGCACACCTGGCTTAAAGTAAAACCTCTGCTCTATCAGCCATTTAAAGAAAGTCCCTTTCACTAAAGGGATCCACCTGCACACACACATTAACAGGATGTCAGCTACTCAGACTCCCAGCTTTCCTGGCTCGACTTCCTTTCCCCTGTAATCTTCAGCTCTCAAGATCATACCTCTGTGGGTGATGGAAGCAAGCGAAGATCAGATTTGTTGATTCCACATCTCCTCCTCATTCTTAAGGGTTGAAGTGAGAGCAGATGATAAGGAGTCAGTCAGTACTAGTTCGTCCTAGATTTGGAGCAACATCAAATAAGCACAGAGCTCACCACAGCAGAGAACACTTCCATCAAAACCTGTTCTTATACATGTCAGAGAGAGATACTTGAAGGTAGTATTTATTTTTTCAGTTTACAGGTGATATGTCATTTACAAAAAAATTACAGACAATGCATCCTTTCAGTGCAGTTTCAAACTAGTTCAAGAACAGGCAAAAGTCTGTGATGATTTGGAATGCTAGTAATTGACAGCACATGCTTTTTTCCCTTAATTGATTGGGTGGGGTAAGGAATGGGGTACAGGTGGGGTGATGAGGAGAAAATGCCAATGTAAATAAGGCCATGCGAATAAAAACTCCTCAGGAGAACAGGACTCCTCAGTCTGGCATATTTTTGTTCTCAAGGTAATTGATGCAGAGATTGGAAGTTCGAGAAGACATTTGACACTTGTTACGTGCAGTGCCCTTAGAAGCTGCCAGTACCTTCCCATACCTTCAATTCTACACCAGTGCTATGATTTCAGATCACCTACTGAGCTAGCTAAAATAGAATGATTAAATCTTTTTGTCTACTCTCCACCATTTGAATTCTCAACTGTAGTTGCTGGGAGAAAGGAAGGTCAAGTTGAAAATGCAAGCTGCTGCTGTATGGTGGCACAACTACAGAACAAGACAGTTTGACTACAGCATCATTAATTTCTTTAAAAGATTAAATACATTAGACAATTCACCACAAACAAATCTATGATTTCAGGATGGAAAGAAGCCCAAACTAGCGTGTCATAAGTTAAGCTACATCATTTGCATGAGGTTTATCCAGCCACATCAACCCAGGGAGAGGCAAGATGGACTGACTGACTTCCACACCCAGAGCAAGGGTGAAGTTCCTAACTAAAGGAAGACTATTCCACAATTTGCCCCTCTCCTGTTTGCAGCACAGTTGCTTCCTTTCTACAGTATTTGTAATCTCGGATAAGACAAAGTCTATGGAACAAGGAAAGCAGTGCAGACTCCAAATCCATTATTTGAAGTTTTAGCCTATGCTTTGTTCCTTATCTCACTTAATTCTGCAAATGGGCTCTTAAAAGGAGCAGTAACACAGCAGGCTCTAGAGACTGAAGAGAATTTAGATGGTCTGTTACATTTATGCAAAAGCATCAGAGATTACAAAGATTATATGCAAGCATGACCTTACCTTTGGGAGCTTGACTCCCAGCAGTACTTTCTGTTCTTGGAAGTCCCTCTGAACCCTCCAGAACAACTTCCCCTGACATTCAAGTAAGGACTGCTGCACAGGAACACAGCCTTTCTTCCTGTGAAGTCTATGCTGAAGCAGTGTTACCTGACCTCCTTCCCCAGCCAACCTTTTTTACTTGCTCTCCTAATCAGTTCTCTAGGGCTTTCTGAGGTGAAGATAAGGACTATCAAATTAATTCCCTAATAGCTGCCACAGGACTATTTCTAAGTTATGCAGAAGGTGGAAGGGAATTTAAGGGAAGATTGTGCATGCTTGCATATATTTACAGGGATTCTCTCCACATCTACTGACTTAAAAAAACCCTCTATTATTAAAGTTTGAAAATTAATTTTTGCCTTTTTGTAAAATTAAAATCAACCCTCAAGGATTAATAGGATATAAAAAAGAAATCTATTTTACAGCACTGACTAGTATTACCTTTAAAATCAACAGGAAAAAACCCCACATGCTGTATTATTATTTGAAAAAGCAAAAATCGCCCACAACATAATCACCCAAAATGAACCAGTGTGAAGTTTTTATTTGCATGGCCAAAATATCTTCCTTTTGTTCCCCTGCAACTTTATTTCCCTTAACACACCTTAAGGGTTTTGCTGCAGAAGGAACAAGATGCAGCACTGCATACTTCCTTGAACAACCACTCCCACAACACCTAAACATTTAACAGATGTAGCAAATGACAACACCACGAACGGGAAAAAACTAAGTTCCACCATTCAGCATGGTCTGCAACAGCGTCTCTAGGGCTGGCTGAAGTGGGCAACTTCACTTTAGAACACCATTTCCTCCTTGTTCCTTTACAGTGTTGGTGGTTTCAATCCATACTTCTTTGCAACTTCTGTCTGGGCATAGGCAGCATCACAGAGGGAGTAGAGGTGGGCCATCTCCATTTCGGATTTGGCCAGGTTGATAGCTTTGTTGAACATTTCAATGGCTTTATCCAGATTACCTCTGAAATAAATGAAAATTCAGTCCAATTAAGACGGCCAAAGCAATTTTTTTAATCTCTGCAACATCTTTTTGCCTTCAGGACTTGCACTCTCCCCTGCCAGCAACTTAAGAGGACTTTGGGAAGAACCACCGTAAGAACTGAGAGAAGCTGTTACCAAGGCTAAGCAACTAGGACAGCTGTTGAACAGCCCTCCTCTTGAGAGCCCCCCCTGGCAGTGCAGGATAAAATGTTCTCACCAGGACACCAAGTTTATTTACTACAAAGATAATGCTGGGACAACTGAATGAACTCTTGTCTCCCTTCAAAAGTCTTTGTAGACATAAGAGGAAAACTTGCACAGACAGAAGCATGTTATTTAAATAGGAAAAGCTTGCAAAATTTCTCAAGGCAATAGTTTAATTGTCTATCCTTTTGATGACTGGGCATATTAAAAAAAGACTCCACTATACTCTCAGCTACACCCCAAACCTTTGCCCAATTGCAATACAGTGTTACAGAACAGTGCATTAGTGTTTCCTTGGTACCCTGAGAACTTGCAATCTGCAGTCCTGTTGGTTACAGGAGAGAACAGCACAGGACCTTCAGTACAAATGGCCCATTATGTTTAAGGACAACATTAGATACAAGTGAAGCCTAGTGATGATTAAGGAAGTCACTTTAAATGCACAAGGGATGTATTTAAACATACACAGACTCATCTGCATGTTGTCCAGTAAGTATGAAAGTCATGAAAATGTGAAATTGTCAGATCATAAATGAGAATTATGCTACAGAGAATGGAAGGCTTTACCTAAGAGTAACAGAACAGAAATCAGGACTTTGGGTGAGAGCTAGCCTTGCACAGCACCAGGGAGAAGACCTTAACACTTATGATCCATAAGGAAATTTAAAGAACTGCTGTAATTTCAAAAGTAACTAAGAACTCTTAACACTGCAATTCAGCATTACCTTTGCACTTCAATCGTTCCCATGGTTTCATATGCAAAATCACATTTGTTATCAATCTCAATGGCCTTGCTTATGAGTTCTAACCCTTTGTCTAAGTCTTGCTTCCACTGGAGCTGAAGTAAACTAGAAGAGAAAGAAAATTTCAAACAGACTTCACATACTCCTCTGAAAACCCTGATCATGGTAAGCAAAACCATCCCAAATGTATAGTGTATTTCATTTCTAATGTGGGGTAGGCAGTAACTTAGTAACTTCATGACTTTTAAAAACACGTATATGAAAGTCACCTTCAATGAGCCATGCTACCACTTTAACAACACTAAAGAAAGGCAATTTTTTTCCCAAGAAGACCTGTTGTTTTATGAAAGAAAAAACTTCAACACGA